CAAAATAATAACTAATTTATTGAAAATTAAATTTTTTTATTCATGGTTTATTCTTTAGATGAATAGATATTTTAAAATTCACCGATGTAACTAAAGCGGTTTTAATTTTATGGCGCTAGTCCACGAACTTTTTGATAACCACTCGTGCGTGTATGAGCAAGAAAGAATTGCCCCCTTTATGGAATTTCATTTACCTGCACCTCACGTAAGAAGATAAACACAGTGGTCAGTGTACATATATTTTTTATTTTTATTCACACATTTGATTTCTTTTACACAACCCTACCCATAACCTCTCCACCCTGTCGAAATCCGAAATATCTCAGCTTTTCACACACTTTATTTTAATATGTACCAGTCTAACGGGTGGAAGGCATCTTCTGCAATTGTCCTTAACTTTGCTTTATCGACTATAGACCTTAATTTTATATTACATTGAAATGATTGCATTTAAACTTTAATAACAGAATATTTAACATTTACTCGAACACATAATCGCATGTCAGAATGCTTTACGCTTTTACTATTAACAGTGTGCAAATACTTGTACAACTTAAGATGGATGTGGTCCTCTGCGGTCTAAAATATACTTGACATGCATTTCGCTGTGAAATGGTTTTGACATGCTAAAGTACTCAGGCTAGTTTTAATGAAAGCAAATTATTCAGTAATGGGTTTATCCTAAATTTGTAAACAATCTTAAACTAAGACATTATTAAATTAACTTTAGACAGTTCAAACACATATATAGATAGAATTTTGCAAAGTTTTGCAAAACTTATACTCAGTTATTTACGAATCATTTAAAGAGGATTTTTCTAAAAAATAAAAAAAAACCAAAATACGTATTTAAAATCAAATACGTCTACCAAGCTCTTTCTTTTAGACATTTGGCCCCGGAAGGAATTCGTGCGGGTTGCGTACTACTGTATTGCATTTAAACGCACCCCCCCCCCCTAAGAAAAAATCCTTTTTATTTATTACAAATTTTTTGGAATAACTTTTTCCTATCCCATGAGGTGAAAATGCATAGTTATACATGCACATAAATTATATGATAGTACTTAACAAAGGAGACGGTATACAGTAAAATCACGGCCAGGTCACTAATTATCTGTTGGTGATTAGAGCTACAAATTCATGAAGTATTTTGATAGCAAATTTAAACTCCCAAATGCTGTAAAAAGTCCTTTTGAACAACACAAATAATAGTCTGGTAAAGATCACCCCATCCATAATTATTTTAACTGATTGATAGTATGTTGATTAACGTCACATTCGAGAATTTTCACTCACATGGAAATGTCTTCATATATTTCCATTTCTAATCTTTTTCTCTGTGATAACTCTTTGAAAGTTGTCGGAGTTTATTTCTTGATAATTCTGCCGGAATGTAAATTAGGCAGGTCGATAGGTCAGGTGCCAAGGAAGCCTGATACGCATGCAAATCTCGTGCGCATCTGTCTCTGTGTCTGTCTGTCTGAAGCTAAGGAGCCCAAATATACATGTAAATCTCGTGCGGCTGCTTTTGTGTTTGACGTCAGTGGGCCAGGACTATTGAAATTGTCATGGAAGTCCTCGTGTGATTTAAGTCTATGTCTACATTTTTAAAGTCTAAATCTACAATTTTATTTCATAATGAAATGGAAATATAAGGAATCACTGTCTAGTTTTGAGAGTATGCCAGGGACATCAACAATAGTGGGAAACATGGGATAATTTTAGCATAACGGGCTTCGCCCGTTATGCAAATTATCCCATGTTTCCCACTATTGTTGATGCCCTGGCATACTCTCAAAACTAGACAGTGATCCCTTAAATATACCGGTGAATTGCTTCAATTATTAACTATGCTTGGCATTGAGGATTATCGAGCTGTGAAGATCTTGATTGTGCCAACGCCTGTCGTGACAGAGGGCCGTTTTTAAGGTCTCATCCGAAGGACACACACCTTCTATTTCAAAGTGCCGAGCGCACGGAGAAGGGAGTCGATACCTATATTTTTTTTATCGACTTTGGTCAGGCGCAGCCGAGATACGAACACAGAGCGAGCGCTCTACCGACAGAGTTATCGTGACAGTTTTTTTCTTAGTTTTTTTTCCTTTGAGACTTATTTCCTTTTCATAAAATACCCCCCCCCCCATTGATTATATCATTCCTGGCCTGAAATTGAGTCCAGCGAAAATTATTCAGCCACTTTGGGTGAAGGCGAGTCGAACGCATTTCCTGCAAATACCAACAATATGTACGAGAGCAATTGACAGAAGTCTATTTTTTAAAACTTTTGAGCTGTTTGGGTAAAAATTAGGAGAAATAATGAATCCAACATTTTTTAATGATGTCACTGTATATAGTTCCAGTACTTTATGGAGCTTTTACTGACGTCATATAGTTATGAAATTTCACAGAAATATGTATCTGAAAGATTCCAATAAATTTTGGACAAAATTTCTGTATTTAAAAAAAAATCTCCTATAATTACCGCTCTGTAGATATCGCTAACGGAGAGGTACGGAGCACGACAAAAAATTGAAACGAAAGCATGCGGTATCCAAACTTTAATTAATTTGCTATTTTTCGCGATATTTCTCGGCAATTTCCTCAAATATATTTTTATATTGTTCTATTACTATGTATTGAGATTTATAACGTGATATTTGAAGTACTTGAATTCCACCCTCACAATTCAAATGGTTCAAAGTAAAAGAAATACATTTTTTTCATTTAATATACTTTAAATTTTCCAATTATTACAAAAAAATGTATCAGTCAGCATATCAATAAAGATGGTAGACATAAAAAAGCAGCTGTATCTGCCAACAACAAAAATCGCACATTTTTGAAAACAGTAGAATGAGAAATGTAAAAACTGGTTAAATGCATGATGCTGATTATTTCTTTATATTTCCTACTTATAAGATACTTTTGAATTGTGAATATCAAGGAAACTATTTTATAATAGAATTGCAAATGCCTGAATGAAGTGACCTGAAAAGGCATTATTGCCTTGTCAACATTTTATAAAGAGTGAATTATTGAATAAATAAAGAAAATGCATTTTTTAATACTTTAGTAGTAACAGTATTTATCATTACCCCACCTCTGTAGATTTTTCCGTGAAATCTTGATTTTTTTCAATGTTTAATATAATGAAGAAATTACCTAAATGTTTAAATAGTTGCCTTTCCCAAACAAACAGGAATAAGTTATTTTCAACTGATTCTTTTTCTCGACCTTTTTGCACTTACCCAGGATTCAATTATGAAATGACAGTTTGGGTTCGCATTCAGATTTACAATGTGAATATTTATCAAAAATTTTATATTTCTGTTTAAAAGGATCATATTTGATTGAAAATTTGTAACCAAACACCAACCATTAAAAATATACATAAATAATTATCAAATAATTCAATTGAAACGGAATGTACATAATTTCATGAAAGATATGACAAAAGTAACACATAATCTTCAGCACATCTTTGACTCAGACACATTTATCAAGATATTATACTATTATGTTAGCAACTGAAAATTTCTTAGAACTTTTGCATTCTTCAAAATGGTTCACATTATTTCAAAAAGTTGTGTAATTTCATTACATGAGATAGTCATGGATTTGTCCACTTAAGGTCAAGATCTAGTAAATGAAAGGTAATTACATGTACAAGTTTCTCTAATTTAAGAAATGTAATAAGTCATAAAACGTAATACATCTATCCAAAAATATATTAATTGAATGTAAATTGAATTCCATTAATTTCAAAATGTTTAATTTTCTACAATTGTTATCAAAAGTGTAAAGTACAAGAAAAATTAATATTAAATTAATTATGACGCCATAACGGATCTAGCACATGTTTGACACGTTCACTAGATATGATTTCATAAGACGTAGATTCTACATTAAGTTCATACAATGTCTTGCCGATTATGATTGGCATCTTTACATAATTATAGATAAAGCTATTCTTCTTTATCTCCTTAAGCACGTAAAGGCACATATATCTGATTTTATTGGAAGAAATGACTGATTTCGGAATCACACACACAAAAAATGTTTATCAACATTGCATTGTCAAATTCATGTTGTAAGAGCACCAGATCCCAATAAATTGAAATCTTTTAAACGATTTACAATTTGAATTCAATTTAAGTTTGTTTCATATAATTGTGGAGCAACATCTAAAAAGATATTGATTAATATCACGAGATCCGAGCGCAACATTTTGTGTGCAATCAATGTAAGTTTTTCTATGCATGACACTGTAGCTCTATTTATCATTCTAGATAATAGTACGATACCTTCTCTAGATATTGCATTGTGTGGGGTGTACATTTCAGGATTGAGGACATTCTCCAAAGGGGGGGGGGCGCTTTAACAATGGCTAATATAAGTAAAGAAATTAATTCGTTGAGAAAAAAACATTTTGCCCAAATAGACATTTACTCCCCTATGCCTAGATTTTTTAAAAAGAGGTGTGAAAAACTAACACTTATATCCCCTCTTTCTCATGGTAAGTCTGAGGAGTTACAGATACAATTTAAAAGAATCTCACTTATATTGAATTTTGTTGTCTATGAAATAGTATGCAAACACAAAAGTGGGCAAATACTCATTAATAAATTTGTTTTTAAATGAATAGTTATTTCAATGAATATATTAAAATTCTGCATAAAATTTGCATTTTTCAGTAAGCAAGGACTACATTTCGGAATGATACCCATTTGTGAACCAACTTTCCTAGCTTTTCGAAGAATGTTCGAAGTCCAGGTATTCAAGAGTCACAGCATATAACAATTGCTGTTACATATTGTTTGGTGCAGTGGTTAATCTGTCAGCCTCTAAAGAAACTTTGACTTTAAGAATGTCATATATGAAGAGGAAAGTATCCTTCTCAAGTGCGTATTAAAGTTCATTTTTTTAAATAGAATTAAGAACTTTACTGTAATCTGCATGCCCAGCTTCGTAACAAAGTAGCACTAGTATCTTTCCATGCATCACAGTGGATGTTTCTTTACCTCCAGGTACTGGATCACTTTTATCTCACCCGATTCTTGACTCCCAACCCATAACCTCCCCTTCCTGTCCACACTCAGTCGAACAGGTCTCAGAAGTCCACAATTGTCAACACATCTGATAAACTGTCCATTCTGATATAAAATATGAAGACAGTCATTATTAACATCAGTTATAATAATCAGACTATGAGAGTCTGTACCAATGTACATAGGTTGGAATGGTTTATTTCTCCTGGCTTCTGTACCATCATATTTGAATCTGACTCTTCCTGTCTTGTCCATCACTATCACTGTCTTGGCATCATAATCAGAGGCACAAATATCCCCATTGTAATTTTCCTCAACACAAAGTCCCATTTCTCCACATTTAAATATATTGTGTCCGAGGCCATCTTTATCAATTTCTGTACTTGCTGTTTGTCCCTGAAACCGGACTATTTTTTTATGAAATTCATCAGGAGTATACATACTTATTAGTATGTCGCCTGATCTAGTACAGCAGAATCCCAGTGGATGCCATCTCTGAGGTAGAGTGATCAATGTCTCTATCCTCCCCTGTCTGACGATGTTCACTGTTCTGTTTCCGTAATCACTGTATATCAGTTCTCCCTGTCTGGTCACTGAAATATCATTTGGACAAGGTTTACATTCGGTGTTAATCATGTCTTTCATAAATCCACGTATGTTAATACGTCTTATAAATTTGTCTTCACCACACGCCCAAACTTCATTCGATCCAATGCAGATAATGGTACCTAAAGGGATAATACCAGAAGGAATGTTAGCAATAACTTGAGCTTTGTCCAATAATTTTCTCACATATAAAACGGAGATATCTTCTGTCCCACTGGATATGGATGTCTGTGTCAGTGTAGCCTTGTATTCTCCTAATTCTATGCTGAGTTCTCCCCCCTGAACTGTGTTGATTTTTAAGGAAGGAATCTTCATATCAACATCTATAGGAATGTCCCTGAAATCCTTAAGATCTGATTTGTAGTTTTGAACATCAGATACTTTATTGGACTTTAGGATTTTCTTGTTCTCTTTTGTTTTCAGACCTAAGTTTGACGCTGAATTCTGCAGCATGGACTGGTATGTTTTGAAAGCTGAGAGTCTTCTATTCTTCATTTTCCTAATGGTTAATTGTAGTGTGTCGAAAATGTTGTCTACTTCTTTGTGCCAGGTTTTTCTAAGATTTTCTCCCTCTCTCTCCATTGTTTTGAATTTTTCAGTCATGTTAGATATCTTCTGATCAATGCTTGCTCCACTTATCGTTAATCTTGAAATAAGAAACTCAATTTCCTCAGTTTCTGTTTTGATTTCTTCTTTCATCTGTTGTACCACCTCTGACATATCTTTGACAGTATGGCCGCTGTGGGGACCTGTGAGACATCTGAAGCAGACGGGGACACCACATTGTTGGCAATGTCCCTCACATTTCTGGTTTGGATGAGAAGCACATGATGTGAATACGAGACGTTCACTTCTGTCTTTAAAGGGAACAATGTCATGTGTTTCAGACTTCAGACTTTCTACATGTTTATTTATACAGTCCCCACACAAACTGACCTGGCAGCTGTTACAGAATTGCTGGGTGGGGTTGTCACAGTTAAGGTCACACGTGAACACGTCCTGTGCCCAAGTGGGCGAAGACCACATCTTTTTCCTGTAAAATAATGTATACCTGTTATATTGTAATCATGCTTATCTTTGAATCATTTTCTCTTTCAAAGTATTTATTGATGGTGCCCTAGCAATCCCCCTACTGAGCAAATATAATAACAGCGCATATTACTAGTATTAGGCTTTCTACATAACTAACCTCAATAAGCAATTTTTTCCTGCATTATTTCCTGTATAGATTATTGCGTTCCATTTTGAAATACCCCGGAAGTTTAACTTTCGATTTAGAATTGGTCATATATTAGGGATGATTTTTTTAGCAACATATTTAACAGTTGTTAACATAAATATATCATCTTTAACATATGACAAATAGAAAAACCAATGTTTGTTACCAAAATTTGTCCATGCTTACTGACGAATGACAAGTATTTTAGTCAAATGAATGTATCATGCTTTACAGAAAGAGTTTTCGTCTAACTACAGAAAATTTACCTTTTCGAAGTGGAAAATAGCAGAGTACAGACAGGAGTGAGCATTGGGGAGCCTCCGAGAAAAATTTCAATTTATCAGAAAAAAAACATTAAAAGCAGAAATGCGGAGGGGGGAGAAGGGGGGGCAGTGGCGGATCCAGAAATCTTAAAAAAGGGGACCGCACTGATTAAGGTCAGGATAGGGTCCACAGACACACAGAAAACACTGATTTATCAAATTTTGTGATTTTTTAAACACAAAAGCCCCACTCTAAATCTGCCAGTAGGGATTGGGGAATTGCCTGGAATCGAAATTCCTACTTTGAGGGTGAGGGGTTGGGTATCAACTTTTTTCAGTGCCAATTTTCATTCATACAGATTACATTTCCCTTTTTTGACTATACTACAATATAAAAGAGTGTGGAGGGAGGGGGCAGCTTTTCAATGATTATTTTCTAACTTCCCTGTTACGACATGCCTGACAGCTATATAAATCCCCTATTCCTATAGTAAGTACAAGTTCTTCAAAGTTTGATGGAATTCACATTAATTTTGTAATGTATACATCATATACCCATTCTCAACGAATCTTCATAAGGTTAAAAGCAAAAGCATCTTACGTTTGAATAACTCTGTATAAGAAAAAGTTTTATCTCACGTTACAGAACAAGAGGCCCACGGGCTACAATCTTTAATACATGAGGATGAGTACATGTCAATATGACTTAACATAGCTTTTCTGGTATTGAGATTTTTCCCTTTATTTTCCTATACAAAAATTTGATCCACCATTGAGACCCTTCCCTACCCTTGGAGGTTATGATCTGAACAAATTTAATTCTACACTACCTTACGATGCTTCCTTATAGATATCACTAATCATGGCTTTGCTATTCTGTAGAAAAAATGTATACCTATGTAAAACTTTGATTGACCATTGTGGCCCCACCCTACCCCCGGGGATCATGATTTCGACAAACTTAAATTTACACTACCTGAGGATGATTCAACATGAGTTTCAGCTCTCCTGTCCCTATGGATCTTAAAAAGAAGATTTTTCCTATATATTCCGATGTAAAACTTTGATCGCCCATTGTGGCCCCACCCTTCCCCGGAGGTCATGATTTAGACAAACTTGAATGTACACTACCTGAGGATGATTCAACATGAGTTTCATCTTTCCTGTCCCTATGGATCTTGAAAAGAAGATTCTGAAAGATTTTACTATATATTCCTATGTAAAACTTTGATCGGCCATTGTGGCACCACCCTTGCCCCGGGAACATGATTTGAACCTGAATCTACATTACCTGAGGATGATTCAACATGAGTTTCATCTTTCCTGCCCCCGTGGATCTTCTTCAGATTTTTTTTTAAATGCCATTTATTTTTCACTAATTCATAATTATCTCCCCTTGGAAGAGGGCTAGGCCCTTCATTTGAACAAACTTGAATCACATTAACCCAAGGATACTTTACAGTATCAAGTTTGGTTGAAATTGGCCCAGTGGTTCTTGAGAAGAAGATGAAAATGTGAAAAGTTTACAACAACGCCAACAACACCAACGACGCCAAAGACAACGACGCTAACGACAGACAACGGACAAATTTTGATCAGAAAAGCTCACTTGAGCCTTCGGCTCAGGTGAGCTAAAAATCTTAGAAAAGATATGAAGACAGTCATTGTTTATACATCACTTGTAATGATCTGGCTCAGTGGGCCAGTGGCAATGTCTATAGGTTTGAATGGTTTATTTCTACTGGCTGGTGTACCATCATAACGGAATCGGACTCTTCCTGTCTTGTTCATCACTGTCACTGTATCGACATTCATATCACAGGCACAAACGTCTCCATTGTTATTCTCTCTCATATTAATTCCATATCCCCACCTTTAGATATATTTTGTATACACGGCCATCTTTATCTATTATACAGAATTGCTGGGTGGGGTTGTAACAGAGATCATACGTGATCACGTCCTGTGTCCAAGTAGACGAAGTCGCCATCTTCCTCCTGGAAGATAAAGTTTTCCTGTTGAGTATATGTAACATAATTATGCTTGTAACTTTTATTTGATTTCTCTCTCAAAGAATTTATATATGCCCAGATCCCGTCCGTAATCCCCTCTATAGTGAATATTTTTACAGCAGCTAGACATAACTCAGCCCAATCAGCAATTTCTTTCTTGATTATTTTCTGTTTGAATTATTGCGTTCTTTTCTCCTCTAACCCGCTCCTTTGAAATACCCCCCCCCGGAAGTTTCACTTTCGATTTAGTATTATACTGGCTTGCCTGTCTGCTGTCTGTGATATACGTTTCGTACGAATGAGACAGAAAATGCCAGTCTAGTACAAAGTAAGAGGTGTGAACTTAAGTATTTAGGAGGGGATTTAGGGTTGTACTAAATATTTAGTCAATTTCTTTTTCAAAGAATGTATTAATACACCCATCACGAACCCCAATCAGCATTTTCTCTTGTTTTCCTGTTTTCTCTTTTTACTCGCCCCTTTGAAATATCTCCGGAACTTTAAGTTTCGGTCTAGTAAAAGAAGTGGGTTTAAGAATTTTGGAGGGGGATTCAGATTTGAACGCAAATATTATTCTTTTGTACTACTTTTAGTACTTTGACGTTAGTTTACAATAGCAAAGATAAATTATATAGGGTTATTGAACTTATATTGGTGAATATTGGCAGAAATTCGCTGTTCAAATGCTCGAGCTTGCGAGAGCATTTGAACAGCCAACGAGTGCCAATACTCACCAATATAAGTTCAATAACTCCGTTATAGCTAAAACATCTCCATATAATTTATAAGAATTAATCCAACTAAAAAAAGGCAAATTAATGATTTTTTAATATCGGTATCCAAATTAACGTCTGTCCTGTAAGCGTTCAATATCGCATCATTCCGATGACCCTACCGAGCGTTATGATTTGCTTATTTAGATTTTAATGGGTCTAATACGTACTAATTTTTTAATAAATAATTTAATTTTGTGTGAAAAATAAACACATCTTACCTAGATGTCACTTCATTTCGTTAATTTAGCTCTGAGAATTTGATCAGACGACTTTTTTGTTTACAACGGGGCGTACGATATTGAAAGGTCGTATTCGGAATTTTTTGGGCATACTCGTTTACGTAATACAAAGACAGCGTTCAATAAAACGTCAAGATATTGAACGCTTAAATTCTCTAGATTTTGGTAGTATTTTATTAGAGGCTATTTATTAGCTATATAATAAGTTACATTATTAGGATGAATGATTTAGAAAAATGATTGCTATCAATATTTATTTACCACACTTTCTGAAGATTTTTTTAATGCGTGTAATGACAATTCTGAAGGATATACACAACGTACAATATACGTACACAAACTGTACAATATATCTTCCCCAGGGCCACTGACTATTTTCTAAGATATTCTCGATTTTAAACAATAGCTAGTATCATGAGATTTTCGTAGACAGAAAATTATCATTATTATAATATATATTATTATATTATATATAATGTATTATTATACATTACCAAGAGTTTTGACCAGAAATAAGATAATGAAAATCCCAGTATATTTCTTTAAGAAAAATTAACATGAATATAGTTTTTATGAGTTTTAGCTTGTATTGCCAAAAAAATTGATTTAGAGGAGGTGTACATTATCACCATGCAGGCATCATTAAATCGTAAATAATAATTCAATGATTTGAACTTTAATTAGAAATTAAAGTTTAAACAGGTAAAGATACTACGTAGTGTACATCGTATTACGCTTTAGAGAAAGAGAGAGACTTTCCATGGCTTTTATTAAACCCCTGTACCCAAAGATTCTGGGATATCTGTTTCTGTCTTGTCCGTCTGTGTGTATCTCTGTTTGACTGCAAAAACTATAACTTTGGCGATAACTTTTGAGTGGGTGGGGCTATGACTACTGAGCTAAACCCATACGTTCTGCCTTTGTAGTGTTTCTTTATGTTACAGTATAGAATTGTGTTTACTGCAGCACAGTTTTAAAACGAAAGTAACAGGCATGTAGCAACAGGGGAGGGGGGTTGTCTTTTTTTTAATTAAAAATCTTTAACGAAAGGTCTTTGACTTCTTTATTTCATCACAGTGAAATAAAGATGATGTAGTAGTGTATGAATGAAATTATTTTGGTACCGAAAGAGTTGGAATTAACCCCAACACAACAAAATAGGATAAATATCGAGACGGAAATTTTTGCCAGCTGTCCTTTTTTTTCTGCTTGTTGTGAGTTTCTTATTTTCAGGTAAGTTGGTTTACCTGGAGTGAAGCGGACCAAAAACCCTTCAACATACGAAATGGATACTGAAGCTGAGACAAACACCATAATAGCCTTGTTGTGACAGTATCTTATTATCTCCTGTTGAGAATAAAGACGATTATATTATTATCAAAATTACCTATTCTATTTTCTGTTTTTCTGATAATTCTATATTCAACACAGTATATTTAATATCATGTTTGTTTTTCGTGAGTAGAAATTTCAGCTTCTTGGTCCGTGTTTGACCTCTTTTGTAACAGCCAATCAAATGTTACAGGTATAGCCACCTATCACCATAAAGAAACATGGAATATATATCTATATGACAAAGCTTCCATATGTGTGAAAAACTAGCTGTTATGTTAGCGTTTGCGGCAGTGCGCGCGTGGGCACCTGGCTTGCCTCGCGACGACTGCAAGTGACACACGCGGCTTCACAAGCGGGGATACCAGCAGAGGGAACTCGAGGAAGGCTGACCCCTCGGGAATTAGTGGGTTACAAAGGTAAGTAAAAGGGGGTGGGGGTAGGGAAGGGCAAGGTGTGAGGTACACCTTAGTGACGTAATCAGTACTATTTCACATTAAATCAGACTCATGTCGTTTGTCGCGGTGTCGTATTAGAGAGAGATATTGATCGAAATTACATATATGCTTTGTTTTACTTCTGCAAGTAGAAATGTTGATTTTCTTGAAAAAATAGTAGAAACAATATATACATGCCTCTAAATTCTTTAAAATAAGACTTGACATTTTTTTATTTATATTGAGCGGTATTTAATTAATGCTAAATATCACACTTCATGTAATATAACATGGAGATATTTTTATTATGTTTAAGTAGTTTTTGCCTTTGTGTCTCAGGAAGTGGGAAGCTTGGAGTATTTTTAATGTCATAAATTAGCTTTATTTAAATAAAAAATTAAAGGAGGCAAATTGTTGCAGTGTACATATATTTTGTGCGATTGAGCCGAGAGTGAGTACATTTTTACTTACAATATTCACATGCCTGTTCAGAGGGTCAGCCATGTTCCTTCATCGTTATAGAATCCAAATTCAGGTTTCAGCATTTTTTCAGTCCTGCAATCCTTTATTTTCGGAGTGGGAGGCTACTATTCACCTGTATCGTTTGTGGAATTTACTTTATTCATTTAGCTCTAATTATTATATTTTCACTTAAAACGATACGGGTACAAATGATTGTTCTTAATTGTTTGTAAAACACAATACTATATAAAAATTAGGTGGGGGGTAGACTTCTTTGTCATGTACGTTTTTGTAAATTGATAAATAAATCTTAAACATTTTCTAGTATTTGCAAAGACTCAGCCACAGATTTTTGTAAAATCCTATCAGGATTATTAGGAAGATTGGATTTGACAAGGTCAAGTTTGACAAGATCAAAAGCAGGAATTGAGTCTTACATAACAATACTATCGAACACTCTCCAATAACGATATGAAAATGTCGACAATTCCAATCGCAAAGTATAAAATAGCTACGAGAAGAAGATAAGGATATTTATGATTAATGTTACACTGACATAAATGTCACTGACGAGAGAAAAAAACAATATCTGATTCCCCCAAGCTTTTGAAACGCCATGTATAGGGCGACATTAGACTTCGCGTAGTTAGATCCACGCCACTAAATAACGCATTAAAACAGCATCAAATTCCGAGACTCAAATTAGTCTCCTTCCCTTGGCTACAGAGAACGTGATAGCGCGGGGGAGGTCACTATCATCTTTAGGAATAAAAAGGTTACCAACGACATTAAGATCCAATCTTTTGCCTTAAGGCTTTGTGTGAGTAGAATTTTTCCGTACTTGATCTTGTTGTTTTAAATCCACCTCGCAAAATAGATTTTTTATTTGATTGCTTACTTTAAAGGTCGCCTTGCAGTCGGTTGTAGAGCAATTTTACACCTGTTTTAATTCCTACGTTTAAGCTCGTTTCGCTGAATATGTTTTACTTGACTGTTTAATGATAGGTCACCTATCTGGTAGTTTCGTAAAAGTTTGTAATTTTTTAGGTCGCCTATACATGCTATATAAATAGTTGCGTACTTGATTGAGCTTTATGTACATGTAAGGGGGACGGGTGATCGTTTATCAGTAATAAACCGACAGCCAGCATCATATAGATAATTTAAATTAAAAGCGCCAAATTAAAGGTTTTAACGACTCAAAGGATATTGTCATCCAGTCAATAACCTTCATATTTTGCGTGCTAGAATTTACATTGTCAAATTAGAGATAAAACACGAACAGTGATGAATTCAACGTTTTCTTGAAAAACAAATAAAGTATATGAAATCATGGAACAAAAAGCAGGGAACTGATATATATGACATTTTTTGGAAATTATATGAAAAAGTTTCAATATTTCCAAGTATGTATATCTTTGGGCATGAATATAAACTCCAAAAACTTTTTTATTTTCGATTCGAAACAAATACATGTAGCCTGATAATGAGTTCTGAGCACAAGAAAACCTCTAACTGCATTCAAGAAGCCTCCACGTAAAGGTCCAGTGAAAGCTACAATTTAGACAAAATGAACATCATTAGAACAACATTATACCGTGAACTTAGGAGTATTTTACCCTATCTTTGGACTTTCAGTAGGCGTGACTTTCTCGGCGCTACGTAATGGAGAATACTAGTAGATTCTCATTGGTTACGAAATTAATAACATAGGAACTTAAAATTGTTGTTGATAACGATCAAGCGACTTATGCCCCACCTCTTTGCCGTGAGAGAAATTACTACACCAGTTGACATTCGGCCGCATTTCTACCATATGTATATTTCAACAGTGAAGGGAAGCTGTGTAAATTTCAGGAGCTAATTGCCACCCTTTACTGAAAGTCCAAACTAAGCGTGTAATTCTTCTATTTGTGAAATATCTAATATTGTAACTTTTGGAGATATTGGATTTATACTGTAGGGGGATTCGATTTATTTAACTATTGGTCACATGACTGTATATTGTTACACATTGCTTCTGACTAATAAATCAAAACTTCTCTCTTTAACCTGGGGACATAAGTTCATTGCATTATACACATTGTTTCATTTAAAGAATTCGTGACAGATTGATTTACATGCAACTTATGTGTTGCCTTAAATAGCAAACTGATATAAACACATATATTTCTGTCATCTGCCAGGTGTGTAACAGTGTATTACAGGTATCTATCAAACACAATCTGTACCGTGTATAATCAATAAATCAAGCAGACGCCAATTGGGTTAATTAAAATCGTCTTATCAAACATTTTCTCTTTTTTGTCGGCTTCTGAACAGTATTTAAAAAGTGATTGTGTGAATTCTGAACAAAAATATTACCCGATTTTTTAGGGTCCTTAAAATTCCAGCCGCTAGGTACTTTTTCATGCGATGCTTTCTGTAAGTTATATGAAAAACCTCCGATTGATGTGAGGTAATCCTTAATTCTTTAGACTTTTAATATGCTTTTTATATTCAGATATGAAATGTCTTTTGTTTTAGACCATCAGATCATGATGTGTTGCTACCTAGTACTGATGTGAAATAATTCTTTTTTTTCAGGGCATCAGATGTTCTTTGTGATGTGTTATGGCGCACGTGTTCAGAAAGGTAAACGAGTAAATCTCTTATAATATTACAATTTTCCTTGAATGTTTCATTTTTTAAATTCTTTGCTTGATCATATGTTGCTATAGCATTTTATACTAAAATATAACTAAAAAAAACTTCTAATATCTGATAGACACATCCTTGCACTTTCACAAATTTTAATTTACATATTCTTAATATTTAAGAAAAATGGCCATCTTTTATTGTATTAATGAAAAATATTCAAACTATAATCCAGAAAATTCAGAGAAGAAATACGAAAAATTTAAACTCATTCACAATATTAAGTCAGTTCGTGCTCAGCGGTTTGTACAGAGTTTAGCAAATGAACACACCCGGTGAATCGTAAACATTAAGAATAATAAAGCCGTGCCTGGTTTACAAAAACAGTTTACGTTTCGAACATTTCAACTCTGAATTTTCTGGATGTTATATTTTTCATTAATACACAAAAATATCTCTTCTTTTCTTTAAAAAAATATCATAGATAAAGTTAAAATTTGTGATAGTGCAAGAATGTGTTAATCAAACGCGTCCCAGAATTCGTAGTTTCAATAATTTCCAAATAAATAAGTTTATTATTTTATTTTCATGTGAAATGCTTTTGAATCTTCTCTCTCTCCAGACGAAGTTGGCTCGTCCAGGGGACAAACATGCAAGGTGTGAGAGTCCGGAAGAACCTCCGACCCCTGATATTTCTCACTTGACCCCGGAAGAGATTGATATTCTTCAGAAAGTCATTCAACGACAGGAAGAGTTCGAGAATGAAGAGGCGTCATGTATCTGGTAAGTTTCTGGTAAATTATACGTTATGTATCATGTACGTTCAACATGGATCTGGAAAGCAAAGCTTGTATCAGGTAAATATGTCATGTATCTAGTAAGTACGTTATGTACAGTTTATCCTCTGATAAGTATGTTGCGTATATGGTAAACAGGTAAATGTATCTCGAAAGTACGTAATATATCCGGTAAGTACGTTAATTATCTGATGGATTTTAAGTAAACTTTAACGTCATGTGTCTGGTAAACTTGAAAGTCGTGTGTCTTGTAAACTTGAATGCCATGTATCTGGTAAACCTAAACGTCATGTGTCTGGTAAACTTAAATGTCATGTGTCTGCTAAACTTGAACATCGTGTGTCTGGTCATGTGTCTGGTAAACTTGAACGTCATGAATCTGGTAAACTTGAACATCATGTGTCTGGCAAACTTGAACATCATGTATCTGGTCAACCTAAACGTCATTTATCTGGTAAACTTGAACGTCATGTATATTGTAAACTTGAACTTCATGTGTCTTGTAAACTTGAACGTCATGTGTCTGGTAAACGTGAACGTCATGTGTCTTGTTAACTTGAACATCATGACTATCTGGTAAACTTGAACGTCATGTGTCTGGTAAACTTGAACGTCATGTATATTGTAAACTTGAATGTCATGTGTCTGGTCAACTTGAACATCATGACTATCTGGTAAACTTGAACGTCATGTGTCTGGTCATCTTGAACTTCAGGTGTATTGTAAACTTGAATGTAATGTGTCTTGTAAATTTGAACGTTATATATATGGTAAACTAGAACGTCATGTGTCTTGTAAACTTGAACGTCATGACTATCTGGTAAACTTAAACGTCATGTATCTGGTCAACTTGAACGGCATGTGTCTGGTAAATTTGAACTTCATGTGTCTTGTAAACTTGAACGTCATGTATCTGGTAAACTTGAACGTCATGTATCTGGTAAACTTGAACGTCGTGTGTCTTGTAAACTTGAACATCATGACTATCTGGTAAGCTTGAACGTTATGTATCTGGTAAACTTGAACGTCATGTGTCTTGTAAACTTGAACATCATGTGTCTGGTAAACCTAAACGTCATGTATCTGGTAAACTTGAACGTCATGTATCTGGTAAACTTGAACGTCATGTGTCTTTTAAACTTGAACATCATGACTATCTGGTAAACTTGAACGTCATGTATCTGGTAAACTTGAACGTCATGTGTCTTGTAAACTTGAACATCATGACTATCTGGTAAACTTGAACGTCATGTATCTGGTAAACTTGAACATCATGTGTCTGGTAAACCTAAACGTCATTTGTCTGGTAAACTTGAACGTCATGTGTCTGGTAAACGTGAACGTCATGTGTCTGGTCAACTTGAACGTCATGTGTCTTGTAAACTTGAACATCATGACTATCTGGTAAACTTGAACGTCATGTATCTGGTAAACTTGAACGTCATGTGTCTGGTAAACTTGAACGTCATGTGTCTGGTCAACTTGAACGTCATATGTCTGGTAAACGTGAACGTCATGTGTCTAATAAACTTGAACATCATGTGTATTGTTAACTTGAACGTCAGGTATCTGGTAAACTTGAACGTCACGTGTCTTGTATACTTGAATTTTAGGGCCATCCGGCAGCAGTTGGAACAGTATGAAGATGCTGTACGGGCTCAAGGCAGCGGTAAAGGTCGCCTCAAGCACATCGATCTACGTCTCTGTCGATTATGCTTCAAAACAAAATTCGCGGATGGCATCGGACGCTTGTGTCATGACTGCCGGAAGAGAGTTTGTCAGCGCTGCGGGGGTTTTACTAAAGGCCGCTGGGATCCCAAGAAAAAGAAGGTAAAGTTCGCTTCTACATGATTAATTATTGGAACTTATTCATTGATATTTAAAACTGTATCTTGATTTAGTATTTTTTTCCATTAATTTTGGCAATATACAGCAATTAATAATACATGTAGTGTTAAAATGAAAACAAATGTGATAAACATTTTGATGTTCGATGATAAGTATATTATATATCTTAAAGTTTTCAAAGATTACTGTTAAAGCACATAAGAGCCGTTAAAATCAAATCAGTGGTTCGAAGGGGAACTACTTTTTCTGAGAATAGTCTATTTCCACTCGGATCTCCTCGGGTGGCTCATACCTCGAACACTAACCTCGGACGTCAAAGGTGTTCTACCATCTTGCTTTTTCAGTCATGTGATCTTGTTTGAATTTCATTCAAATGTTATACTTTTATAATCCGAGTTACTTTGTGGTACAACCAACGCTATGTTCTTGCCTTCAAAGACAACTAGCACATGACTGTAGTTAACAGCAATATACAGTGAAGAATTAGATAAATTAACAAACCCTTTCGACGAACGTTATGCAGAGCGAAATTTGAAATGAGTGACAAGGCAGTTTCCGGCGGAGAAATGCATCGATCTTGCTCCACTTATCACATCCGATTTTTTAATGGAGCGTAGCGGAATCAGCCGAGGATTGCCGATTGGTCTATTGATGTCGATTTTATTTGTGCATTTTAATTTGGATACTGTCCCTTTTTGTTGCTGAGCTATCACACATAAGCAAATTCCACCATTCGGAAAGAAAAATGTAGCAAAAATTAAAACGAAGGGTACTCAGCTCCCTAAATGCCATGATTGGATTTTACATTTTAAAAATACCTACAAAACTTTGCGTTCTTATCATGTAAACTTGAAGTGAATGGGGTTAAAGTGCATTAATATACGGTAAGCAACTTTATGAACGAATGTGCTATGAGATTTGAAAGTGGGAAGGTATTAGCAAAAAAGTTTTGTGTTCAAAACATGAATTGGTAGGGGTTAAAGCTATAACAAACATACAAATTGTTAACTAATAAACAGACATTGAATAAGTCACGGGTATCTGAAAGAGTTAAAAGTATTGAACATAACAGTGTATATACACTATGCAGCAAGACAACACAGAGAAAATGGGTTTGTTGGTTTGATTGTTTTTCTTTGTTGGTTTGTTGGTTGGTTGGTTTGTTTGTTTGTTGGTTGGTTGGTTTAACCTCCCTTCAAAATTTTCCCATCATATTCAGACCTAACCACGTGCATGTGCCAGCAGATAAAAAAGAGGAAACAACCTAAACAGAAATTCATGTGGACTAATCATCGCAAAATAAGATGAGAGAAATATGATAAATGTAAAATAATTTTTCAAAAATTTGTATCTACATTAAATACACTCTAAAAATTGCTTTAATAAAGATTCTGACATGATCAGGCGAGAAAAATAATGTTTTAAAAAAAGTACTACACCTATATACATAAACAGCAAGAAAATCTAAGGCATTAATTTATTTTGTGTGATGATTTTGTAAATGTTGATGTGGTTGTCATTTGGACCCGCGTTTAATCAACAGAAAACGGTTACAATTTCTTCGACTTGGAGCTCATTTTGAATCGACCTCAAAAGAACGGAAGTTGACAAGGTTGCATGGTAACGACGCAAGGGCAATAATCGTGGTATAGCCTTTAGCGTGCTTTTAGAGCAAGTGTCCTGTAAATTATGTAACAAATCACTTATATATTAAATGATTCTTGACAATTTAGCCTGTGGAACCAAACTTTAGTCGGTATTTACCAGTTTTTACTGTCCTTTTCTTGTCGGTTAACATTTTTTCCGCGAAGCTGGGAGTCCTTTGGTGTTACCATTTGCTTTCGATTACCCTCTGAGTTTTCCGTATACAAAAGTCAACTTCCGTTCTTTTGAGGCTGATTCAGCGAGATGAGCTCCAAGTCGAAGAAATTGTAACCGTTTTCTGTTGATTAAACGCGTGTCCACGAATGACAACCGCATCAACATTTAGGAAAATCATCACTGTAGGGAAGAGAACTGTGGCAACTAAATAAATTAAACAGAAATAGGTGCTGAAGTGGGAATTTTTTCCAAGATGTCAGCTTGCGTCCCTTTGAGAGTTTATGTATATAGGTGTAGTACTTTTTTTAAAACATTATTTTTCTGCCTGATCATGTCAGAATCTTTATTAAAGCAATTTTTAGAGTGTATTTAATGTAGATACAAATTTTTGAAAAATTATTTTACATTTATCAATCCGGAAGACAAGCCCCTATGATACAAATCAATGATTGGGGGTAAACAGTGATCGTGATTCTGACAGAACATTGGGTCATTGACCATGTACGGTAATTACAATCTGACGCCTTCAAACTTAACAAAGTTATAAGGGATTAATATCTCTATCGATGTTCTCTTTATCCATAAGCACTTCTCCATGCCATTGATTTTCCTGGCGTCGCTTCCTTCACCTCTGAGACCGAAACCGAGACAGTCCGCATACAGAAAAGCACCAATTCTCTCTCAGCTGGTCGTTGTGAAATACATGTTTGATATTCAAGGAACATAAGATGATTTTTTTAAAGAAATCCAGAGAGATGGATGCTATAATGCATATATATAAAAAAAATCCTTGTTGTAGATGGTGCGAGGTAGATGGCGCTGCAATATGTGTGACATGAAGCGGAGGTTCTTTTGTAAAACGGGTGTTTGGTATCACGGACAACGAGCCCGACCTACGCTCAATCGAGCACTCTTCAGTCAAAAAACGAGAAGTCTAGAGGCTGATCTTACTGAGGATGAGGTGAGAAGTTTATTTTTTTTAATTAAATTTAACTGGGATTCTGTGGCTTGCAAAACAGAGAATGGATCTCCGCGATCACTTTTGGACATTTCATACAAGAACTTTGGTATTTTACTTTATGGTTAACGTTTAAATAATTGAATGACTATCAGTTATAATTCGCATTTTGAAAAAGTAAAGCGTATATTAACATATGCTGATAGATGCAATGTTAAGCATGTGTATTTGCCTGACTGTCCGAGGATCCGTGTCTAATGCACTGCTCATGTAGAAGCTTGTTCGTTATCTTTGTATTTTTCATTGTTTTAAGATTTTTTCTGACCCACTAGTCCGACTTCCTTGACCTTTGAACTTAAAAGGAAATTTCCAAATATCATTTGATTCGTTGGAGGTTAGATTTTGATGCTTTAATTAACAGAGTGGATCATTTATAAAAGAATATTCTGAGTACAACAGTTAAGTAATGACGTCATACATTCCTTGTTAACGGTGTTTGATGCTAAATAAACAAGACTATTGTTTGTTTTAAATTTTTATATAGACGTCTAACACAATTAATTTAATGTCTGTTAATTTTAACTCGTTGGCCTATTTTTAAGTGGAAATCAACGTCATCTTTAGATGTATTTTGAACAGCCAGCTGTCGGGATTCGTTATTTAGCATGTTGTTTGCAAGAGGTTGTTTTTGAAAACAATGTTTTTGATATGGTATCATTGACTTTTGATTTCATAATACACTGAATTATTTTGTTTTGCTATTCATTGTAGTTGATGTATTAACAGCCAGCTTTACCTATGGTTAGAACTACTCTGTTTATATTTCACCTGTTGATTTTATTTCACGTTTTCTTTATTCTTGGAATTATATTGAATCTGTTTTATTCTTATATTAAATCATATAATAACGGCACCAAAACGAAGAAACAAGATGCATCAGTGGTCCTTTAAAAGAAGATTCTATCCTTTTAAAACAAGGGGGGGGGGGACGACTAAAAAACCCTGATCTAGATGTTTTAAAAAGACTGATTTATAATGTTATCTTGTACAGTCACCCAGGTATGGATACCCTGAGTCTTCGTTGTCTTCTTTTATACAATTTCTGAGTAGGCTTAATAAAAAATGTTGACTATACAGTGTTTGCTATTTGATTGTCTGAGTTATATGCATTTGGTCATTATTCAAAGTCCGCACGAGTGATTTTTTTTTTTGAAACTAAAAAAACTTAGATGTACACTTCCTTTTTTAAAGATGTAGTCTATTAAACCACACATTACTCTGCTATTGATTTTCAGGGGGTTTTTTTAACCCCAGGACTGCTTAAAATTCAGTGTCGTGTAGTGAAGAACAAACTATAATACTAGTCCAGCAGGCTTGTATAATGAGAACAAATTTTAATTATACGATACCGTGTTTACACAGCATTTATAATATCTTCTTCTCAAGAATTATTGCATGTATAGAAATAATATCTGGATAGTGTCGACTCAAATCTAAATCATGATCCTCTAGGGTATGGCTGGGTAAACAGTTCAAATTTTTACGAAGGCATATAAAAGAAATATCCTAAAAACGTTTTTCTCAAGAACAGCAAAACCATTATACATGTAAGTTAAAATGTGTTAAGTTTTGATTAAACCATGACCCATTGAGTTGGGGATGGGGGGGGGGGGTCAAAGAGGATCAAGTTATTACAAAGTTATTTGTTGGAAATTTCTTGAAAAAGTTTAATGGTTTGCTTGTATTTCCTCGCGTCCTTGATTTCAAATATAAAGTTACGGCAAAAAGTTTTCCTTACTTTAATCACGACTTCAAAGATTTAATTCCAAGTTTTATAACATGCCTTGCAAAGTACAAATTATTATAAATCCAAATTTTTTATCATTGTTTTATTATCGGGATGATCAGAACTTTGTACCTCGGTAAATATCATCTATTTGACTGAATGATTACCTGGGGCAATCTAACAGCCACATTACGATCAATCGCCGTTAATTCCATAACTTCTTATCAAAGCGGAAAGCAGAAAATATCACAAAATGCGTAGAACGGGTATAATGGACCCAACATCAGTTAATAATTACATTGCGTTTATTTAACATTTAATTCCATTATACTTGGTTTCCCGACGACGGAAGCTAACACAATAAATCAGTTCGATATCACGGTAAAATCCCGGATTGATATGTCCAGACTGACTCTTTGGTATTTAAACATAGATAAAATAGATATATACCCGCCTTGTATAGAATTGATTCTACAAAACCGACTTTTGCATACAGACAATAATGTAGTCGTTGCTATTTCAGGAAATTTTCTGAAATAGCGTGGTTTTGTTCACTAATTAAAAAGAACCGTATAGTAATGTCCAGCAAAGACATGCAAACACCTAGATCAGGTAAATCTAGTATCGATCCCGCAATCTGAACTAATCACCGAACGATGACAAAAGAGCATCGCTTCACCATGGTGACTTACTAATGGCCAGTCATCATTAAGCTTTAGCAACTTCCTGTCTCAGACCTTAGATTGAAATGAAGCGCATCTGTTGACTCGCTCTGTCATCGATTTTAATTTTGTCTCGTCTCAGCGGGTCCTTTTTATAACGAGGACGAATATTGTGCAGCCTTGAGCAATCTGTGCTTTTTCTTTTTGTAGAGTCGATGGCGCACTCTGTCCCCCGCCTCGTCTGACGCTATTGTCACTGATACCGACCTTCCACGGGGCCATGTCTCTTCCTTCCAGGCGATGATGCAGACGAAGGGGCGCCGGAAAAGCATGCCGATCTTCCGGACGGAAAGTGTGGATATTTCGGACAATGATAGTGATGAGGATCCTTATAATCGGAGTTCTCGGCGCAGGCGCTCAAGGCGCCAGAGCAGGCGGCATTGTCGTAAAAGTCGACACGCATCCCCAGCTCGGGGAGTTCGGACGTCTCCCGGACATTACGACGGGAATGATACGTATGAGAATAGTTATCCCAATGCGGGTGAAATAGAATTTATATCATGTGATCTTCCCAATCAGGGGGAACTGTTCTACTACATGTCGGGGGATTCTGACAACGACAGCATAGGGGAAAATTCAGAACATTTAAGTAACCGGAAACCGGACGGCCAGAGTCATGATTCTTCGGAACACCTTGTGAATGTACTTTCTCCCGATCACATGGGTAGCGTTTCGTACGGTGGGCGACATGACCCTCAGTTTTTATACCCGGCAAACAAAAATCCTGAGAGAATTGTGATGGAAAGTGCATGCCGGGACATTGAACGGAGATTTTCTAACGATCCAGAACAGCGATATGATCTCGGGAACCACTACAACACGCCGCGTACGGAAAGACGCCGAAAGAATCCGATAGTTGACCCTAAATATCTGACCCCGGAAAATCCGGAGCGAAACAGGAGTTATTCCTCAGATTCTAATTCGTCTATGAGATCCTTTGTGTCATCTATCGCTGATCATGATCACGCTGAAATCCATCAAATTCCATTCACTCAAGGTCAGTATAGGTCAACAATGTCCTTGACCCCAGCATGTCTCAGCCATCCTTTACATAACAATATCTGCAAAAATGACACTAGATGCAGAAAAACTTATTTAAAATGTGCTAGTTGCTTTAGCAAGTAGATATTGCTCTTACTTTTGATATCCATTGATAATATGTTGACTTTAGAAATTCAGTTGAAAAATCTACATGTATATCTTTTTAAAATTGTATCATTTGGGTGAAAAAAAAGCAATAGCAGTATAACTCTTAGATTGTGTTTATAAACTGTAGAAGGGCCTGCCTCAACGGTGAATATAGCAATTAATATCTTCAATCTGACATGTGTTGTTTTGTACACGTATCACTTTACAACGCTCAGTTAACCAGCCATTTGTTAGATCGATTGATATCACAGATTTTAAAAGAAGAAAACATTTTTCTTAATTACGGCTTTTATTACTCAAAATTCTACTTCTAATTCACTCCAAAGTACTTTTTCGATAATGAACGAAATCCCTTGTGACATTTAATTTGAATTTAACTTCATCTGAAATCGGCAGCTGTCAAGGCGATCATTTCACATGAGATTCAACAAATTTTGCTGTTCTTGCGAACAGACTTTTCTAGTCTTTGATTAGTTCGTCTGAATAAGGTTCTTCTGTGATAACAGCTTAACTCGCCTGAACAAGGTCTTTTGATGATACATAAGCTCGCCTGAACAAGGTCTTTTAATGAGACATAAGCTCGCCTGAACAAGGTCTTCTGACGGCAGATCTTAGCTCACATGAACAAGGGCTTCTGATAGCAAAGCTTAGCTCACATGAACAAGGGCTTCTGATAGCAAAGCTTAGCTCACATGAACAAGGTCTTCTGAGAGCAAAGCTTAGCTCACATGAACAAGGTCTTCTGAGAGCAAAGCTTAGCTCACATGAACAAGGTCTTCTGATGGCAAAGCTTAGCTCTAGTGAACAAGATCTTATGGCAAAGCTTAGCTTACGTGAACAAGGTCTTCTGATGGCAGAGTTTAGTCTTCTGATGGCAAAGCTTAGCTCACGTGAACAAGGTCTTCTGATGGCAAAGCTTAGCTCACATGAACAAGGGCTTCTGATAGCAAAGCTTAGCTCATTTAAACAAGGGCTTCTGAGACAAAAGCTTAGCTCACGTGAACAAGGGCTTCTGATAGCAAAGCTTAGCTCACTTGAACAAGTGCTTCTGAGAGCAAAGCTTAGCTCACGTGAACAAGGACTTCTGATAGCAAAGCTTAGCTCACGTGAACAAGATCTTCTGAGAGCAAAGCTTAGCTCACGTGAACAAGGGCTTCTGATGGCAGAGTGACTTACGTCTGTTTATCCATATCTGTGTCTGGTACATGCATCTGTCTCTTTTCATCTTCTTCACAAGAAGCTTTCCATTAATATTACAAAGTTAATCGTTACATGTATATCTCGTTATGCCATGAATTTCATCGCCTTATTACTGTAAACCAACTTTTATTCGCGACGACTTTATTTCGCGATTTACCAGGGATAAACTAGTTCACGACGATTAATTTTTGCGATCAAGCCTTTTTGCATCTGTTTTTAAAAAACAAGTTACGAGAAATATTGCCACAATATATGAAAATTTCTCGAACGCGAATAAAAGTTGGTTTACAGTATATGACTCAGATAAATTCAAATATACTAAATGTGTGTGATGTAAGGGAAAATAAAATAAACAAACAAATTCACAGAATTGTGGTCCCCCGCTTTCGGTGTCTTTGTGGGTGAGATGTCAAATATGAACGCCATATTATATGTCATTTAGAAATTATCACCAAAGTTGATTTTTTTTTTAAAAAAGGTCAATCATGAAAGCCAAGACATATGAAAGCCCTATCTCTTCTCAACCAAAAGTTAAAAGGAACAAAATTCGTTTGTGAAACACTGATGACCCCGTATGGCAACAAAGCGAAGATTAAACTTTTCGTAAATGCAAATTAAATATATTGGTACACAAATTTAAAAAAGTAGGTCAAACTCCAAGGTCAAGGTAAAAGGATCAAAGTTCTTGGTATCCAATAAAAGGTTTTCTCACAAGGATTACTTATGTAAAGTATGAAAGCCCTAGCCGTTACCTAGTTATGGCCTAGGTTAAAGTTTTTAAAAAGTAGGTCAAACTCCAAGGTCAAGGTCAAAGGTTGTAAGTGCTTGATATCCAATGAAAGGACTTGTCACAAGGATTTTATATTTGAAGTATAAAAGTCCTAGCCCTAACCCTTCAAAAGTTATAGCCTAGGTTAAAGTTTTTAAAAAATGGGTCAAACTCCAAGGTCAAAGTCAAAAGGTCAAAGTTCTTGTTATCCAATGAAAGGACTTTTCACAAGGATTACATAACCGAAGTATGAAAGCTCTAGCCCTTATCGTTTTAAAGTTATGGCCAAGGTTAAAGTTCTATCATAAGTACGGAAATCGTCAAGGTCAAAAGGTCAAAGTTGTTGATATCCTATGAAAGGTCTTGCCACAAAGAATATATATGTGAAGTATAAAAGCCCTAATCACTACCGTTCAAAAGTTATGACCAAAGTAAAAATTTAAGATTTTTGTGTAAAAGTGGGTCAAACTCCAAGGTCAAAAGGTCAAATATGGTGGTACCCAAAGAAAGGTCTTTTCACAAGGAATACACATGTGAAATATGAAAGTCATAGCTCCACTAAATCAAAAGTAATGGGCAGGGTTAAAGTTTTTGTAACGGACGGACAGACAGACAGCTAGACAGACTGACAGACAGACGAATGAGATTTAATATCCCTTCGCTTTCGCGAAAGCAGGGGACAATAATAACAAAATAGAGTGGTTCAAACACTGTTGAAATCGTTTTGAAAGAAATATTACAAGAATTTTTCATCATTTATTTATAATCATGCAATATGGATTTGTGTGTGTGTGCACAGAAGAGTGCTACATGTATATTATAACTCTTTATAATACAAAAGCGTCGAGTCTCTGATTTTGAGTTCCGGGGTGCACACAGACCGACATCTATCCATCATGGACTTGTAGACCAAATTCAGTACTCATTCGGAGCAGAACAGAATTGTCAGATTAATTTTTTCCTCCTCTTTCTCTTCCGACAGATTATCTCACGTCGTTGGAGCCACGAGAAATTCTTCTGTATCGTGACGTCAAAGATCAAAGCATCAGGTGTAAGTCACGTCATCTTACTTGGAGGTACTCCGTATTTAAGCGGAAATTAATTTCTTTAAAAGATATATTAGCTATTTTAATGCAGGAAAAAGACGGAGATTGGTATCACCTTATTATTACATAGGCTATTTTGATCTATAAATAATGAGAAAATAATACTCAATTCTTGTGAAAAAAAATTCTATACACCAGCAGGTGAAAAATGAAACATTTTCTAATAATCCTGTAGCATCCTTAACAAAAAAACAATACTTAGTATCTAAATTCACACGGCGCTTACTATTTATATAATGTCAAACTTGGTTTTCTCTTAAATACCTTTAAAAAGCAAGAGCTCGGCTATTACAATAATTAATGTTTATACATGTATGTTGTTTAAAGTCCCTCTCGAGAATTTTTCACTCATATGCAGTTACCATCAGTTGCCGATGAGAGCTGCAATTTTGTTTCATATACTCAGCAGTCGGGGCCATTGAGCAGGAAGGTACTTTTTTCGTGCCCGAACCTACAACACGGGACTTCAGTTAAGGTCATACGCAACGTACCTCATCTACTGATAATTTTTCAAGATATTCTAAATTTAAACTTACAATACCATTACATGTTCTTAGACAAAAAATCAGCATGCGTTACCAGGGGTTTTGAAAAGATATCAAATTGTGCAATTTTTGCATTTTTCAAAGAAAAATGTACAAAAATTACAAAACATAAATTTAAGATTTTATTTCATCAAAAATTGTTTTACAAGAGTAGTACAAATCCATATATAAACATTAAAAGTATTGCGCACGGGTCCTTCTTTTAGTGGAACTCTTCAACTCCAGGGAAGAACCCAATAAATTTCAAACTACATTGCGTATGACCTTAATACGGTCTCATCCGTAGGACCGGTCTCCACATCCCACTGTGGGATTCGAACCCGCGACGTAAGGATACTTAGAGAAGACGCTCTAACCACTGCGCCACGATATATTATAATAGTTAATGAGAGATCCTGTAATTACGGACAAGACGAGGAGAAGATGATTGTTTTGTAACATCTGCCAGTGAACGTGGTGGCTATTTCTGCTCGATTTCATGCTTTTATAAAACTTACGTAATCTCTGAGGAGAGCTGGCGAAGAAATCACGATGTTCTATTGATCACTGAGCAGCAGGATAAAATTCGAGAACAGCTTACAATTCTCCATCTATCTTGTATATAGCTTTTGTTGATATTAATTAAGACAATACACAAATTTTTTTTATCCGTAATTGATCAATTCCTATAATAAACTATATCTGATATATCAAATTCCAAACTACAAAATTTATTTTAATTTTAACTACAATTGTATGTTTCTGTATCAAGCTTCGTCCTATGCACTCTTGTTTAAGTTTTTTATAAGTCCAGATCTTATTGATGTTGAGGATAACTGTATACACACGCGTATGGATTTTCTCTTTAGATTGAAGGATTTGAAAGGAGCGCCTTTTTTAAGCTCTGTTTTTCTCAGATAGATCTTTAATCTACTTTTTTCGATTATTTTACTACAGCTTCCGGTTTAGGCATGCGTGTTATGTTTGGTAAAAAAGGCTACGGCAGGAAACTGGGGGCGTTTGTTTCAAAGGTGGAGAAAAACGGACCGGCCGACTCCTACGGTATCCGTAAAGGTGAAATCAGTACTAGTGTATATATTATTAATTAACAAATTTATATAGTACAAATAGAAAGATTTTTTGTGGTCAATATCAGTAGGGAAATAGTTAAATTCTTTAAGACTATTGGGATTCGCTTTAGTTTTTGATGTAGATCAAGAGCTCCCTAAAGCTGAACTCAGCTACTACAAAATAGCACTTATCGATACTGAATGAAATGTCTCTGTATCTTCGAATAAAATTGCAGTCTTTTCAGGTTTACGATACAGAAACAAAAAATAAACTCTTACATTAAGAGTATCAATGATGTCCTTTTTGCAAAAGTACTAATACATTTGTAAACTTTTACATCCTGAATATGAAGAATTTCAACTTAATTCGGTGAAATGCAGAATATTAGCTGTACTGTTTCATTACATGATAGATAAATTTACCCCTTGCCATCAGTTGATTTACAGTAATTGATTGATCTTATTTAGGAGATCAAATTCTTCTCTGGAACGGTAAATCTTTAATGGGAACAACTCTCGAGGAATCCATGGATGTCATAGGTCAAAGTTCAGATGTGGTTCAGTTGCTAGTGGTACATCACACGACGAGGTAATAATAAAAATCACGTGATACTTCTGTGTAGATTGTATTGGCCAATCAAATAACTCGTAAACGGTTTCAGTTTCAGTGACAACGAAGACACAAGTACGAACACGTGTGAAAATCCATTACCATGTGAGTACAGAGTACATGTATAGATGATTTATAGCAAGATACGGTTACATCGACATTGTAGAGTAAAATATTAGTATATTTTGATATCTATATTTACTGAAATGTTCTGTATATATCTTTTTAAAAATTTTATATATTAGATGTGTGTATTAACAGACCTTTACTTGATTTTTTTAGACAGCACAACGACTCGAGGGTCGGACGATCGCTCAAACTGCGCCACGCCCCCTACGACATTGAATCTCACCCGAAAGAGGAGAATGCTTCCAAAAACACCGGTAAAATAAAAAAAACACCGGTAAAATAAAAAAAAAACACCGGTAAAAAAAAACGGTTAATTAAAAATCACCGGTAAAATAAAAAAAAACGATCATTGAAAAAAAAAAGGTTAATAAAAAAACACCAGTAACATTTTAAAAAAAAACACCGTAAATCTTAAAAAAAAAAAGATTATTTTAAAGTTGTTAGAATTTATTTAAAATACACACAAAGACATGTACACCGGTAAATGAAAATTAACGTCTGCAGAGAAATAAAATAGAACGTCTTTTTTAATCGCTAACATCTAAAACACCACCAGTGAGTAATTGCTAACATCAGTTAAGCAAAGTTCAAATTTCTTTTATGATTCAATGCAGCATTTGTATTCAGTAAACCAATGAGATACTATGATCGACTGTTTGGGGTAGGCTTTGATGACTAGCTGAACTGTATTTACTGAATGTTTCGTTTATTTAAGGTTGAAATCAAGAAGGAGGATCGTAACGTGAGTGGCTGCGTGCGCATGTTAGTGTCGCACGAGGATTCCTGTTTGTCGGTCACTCTGGTCAGCGCGGAGAATCTGGTGTCTGTTGATCCTCTGACGTCACTAAACCCTGTCGTCATGGTGCACATTCTGCCCAATCGTGGGTAAGATTAACTTGAATGAATTTCAGCTCCTATTATTTCTTAAGTAAAGGTTACTTATGCACAGTGATACTCGGGCGATTGTGCAATATCATTTGACCCGGTGCAGTAACAAATTGCTCTATACATACATATACGTTATACTTTTTGGAACGCTTTCCTCACTTTTTTCTCGTGATAAGGAAGGGGGTGTATTTCCTGTTCATGTTACAAGTGACAAAAATAAAGATGTACGGAGAATACAGTAATGTACCAATATAATGAAGTAAAGCTTGATATTTGATTTTTATACTTTCTATACAGTGGTTTCCCCATGCATCAAACCCAGCTCCAGTACAACACGGCGAATCCCATCTTTAACGAGTCATTTAACTTTCACGACATCTACCAGCAAGAGGTGCCATAACTGTTTTCTATGAATTGATATTTTTTTAAGAAATTTGCAAAAATACACAAAAATCATCATGGTTCTTTGAGCACTTCTGAATCTTTATTATATTTCATTGACACTGGCAATTTTGCAAAGAGAATATTTTTCGAAAACCTTCTTTTAAGTACAAAGTCATAACATTTACATATTTTCTCTGCTTTATCGCAGAACTTGTATACCTCTAGTTATTTTCCTTTGATGTAATGTTTATGCTGTGTCGGTTTATCAGAGTTTTACTGTATTTTGTTGTAATATTTGGCTGTGCCGGTTTATCCGAGTTTTACTGTATTTTGTCAGCTTGTGAAGCTCTCCCTAGAGGTCACCCTTTGGACGGTAGTGGATGACAACTTCTTGTTCCTGGGGGAGGTTCTTCTCGACTTTTGTGACCTTCAAATGGACAATCAGGTCCATAGTTACGACCTTCAGGACCATGACGAAAATAGTTCCCCGCTTCCGGTGCGCAAGCGTAAAGAGTCTTCTGACGTGACCACTGCTAGTCCCCTCACGTCAATCAATGATGGATCAAGTTGGTCGACCAGCCCCGGTGTTCAGTCTTCTCCCAGGCGGGAACCCCTCCATTGTGACGACAGATATCACGTGACCAGTGGATTAGCTAATGGTAGATAAGTTATTGAATAAATGCTGCCTTGATTTATGAATATCCTTAGCGAGGGAATGCTCCGCTTTGCGGGCCCGTTTTATTAAGCTTTCATTCAGGGGTATGAAATTTCTCCTCAAATGTAACCGTTTGCGCACACACTCTGGTTAATTGTCAAATTTCTCTTCTTTTTTATTTTATGTGATTTGAATGTTGATATGAAGGTGTATTCGAAATTATTTCTTAAGATACAGTATTTACTTTGTCTTGTGTTGCATGATGTACACTACCAAGCTACATTTCTCTTTGTTCAAGAATGTACTGAGTATTTCATTTCTAAAGTGAAAGTAAAAAACTTCTTAAATATAATTTGAAAAAAGTATGTGCGTTTTGTGTTTCGGAAGTGCACTTTAATGGAATCGCAACAGTTAATTCTTTCCCAAAAAAAAAAACGGCCAAGACGATATACTAGTAATGCGGGTGGACACCTGCGATCATGTTTTTTCTATGTGTTCTAGGTCGAGACAGGAGGTTCAAACTGAGTGTCACACAGTCGGTCCCTAACTCCCCCCAGTTATCTCCCATCAGTGCGTCAGAGGAGTCCATGTATCTCGGGGGTGAGTCCACACTTTATTATTATCGTGTATGTTATCACGCTAAGTATACTAGTTCATTAGCTAGAACAACGCTGGGTGCAATACTGTTAAATAGATATTTTTATATCTAAATGAAATGTTCATTTTTTGTCATAATCTGTCGCTTGATTAGAGATAACACGAGTTCGGTATAAAAGAGTTGTACTGTATGTATGATTCTGTAGCTACTAATGTTTTTGCCTGTTGAAGGAGATGCCCGCGGTAGTATAACGACATTAGTCCGGAAGAGGGTGTCGAACGCCATGTCGAAGGTGTCTGTCCTGTCGGGCGACAGTCGGCGACACAGCATGTGTACGTATCAGTGTCAGCACTTCCAGTATCTCCCAGTATTTCTACTGATTTTATGTTCCTGAGATCTCGCAGATCTTATAAATTTGATTAACTTGCTTATTTCATTTAGAAAGGTACGTTTGAATTCATTTAATATCCGGGTGTAATTGACTTATGAAGCCTATATTGTCTAGAAAAGTTACATAGTCTCATATAATTATATGTAGATGACCGCCGGAAGGACAAACTGACCAATCGGAGCTCCAGTGTCTCTGACGCAACTCTGGAAGCCTCGTGTCGTGCCTACGATAATCCGTCCCCCATCAGCCGACGATCAGCTGTTAGTACTATGTCAGGTAAAGCTAAATCCACATGTGTGTGACCCCCCCCCCCCCAATGTAGCTTGACGTATGGAGGTTCCGAACGTCTTATTATTGTATTCAGTGAGAAATTTCTTTCAATATTATTGAATAAAAGCTTCCATGCTGTACAAACTACACCATGTTTAATGTTTGGGTTATATATATATAATTTTGAATTATTTTTCAATGCCTAACAATGTCAATAGGATGCAACTAAGTAATTGTGCACAGAAGCTCAGGAATTACACGATACATGTATATGTTTATTTATTTATTAATTCTTTTTATGGGGGTGGTAAATGGGAGAAAATATGCAAAAGGAATATGTGTGAAAAGTCAGAATCCAATGCGTAAATAAAAAAAATTCTTTTACAAGTTTTGGTGTTATCCTTATTGAGTTGGGGTGTCGATTTCAGGTACAGAGGAGCTCGGAAAGCCGCCTCAGCCGCTGAACACGGGGGACACCGCAGGTCACTTCCGGGGAGACGAGGAAGATAGCTGCGGCGAAAACGAGGCCAGGTAATAATTTTCATTAATTCGGACAATTTGTTTAAGAGCACATAAGTGTCTGGATTAAAGGAGTCGACTGTACATTAAAGTGGACTATATAATGAATAAGAACACAGGTAAAAATAAATTGTTAAATACCAAATAACCAATATATCGACATGGAATAACGAATGTTTAAACGTTACTTAGGTGTTTGTTTGGTTTATACATATAAATATGAAGTCATTTGCTTTTGTTTTGTGTAGTGGTGTTTGTACTACTGGTAGACTTGATCCAGATGGGAATGATGTGACGTCACTTCTGGGACCAGGACAAGTGCCCCCGAAACCCTCAAGCGGTAAGTGCCGCCATTTTAATTTATAACCAAACATTATCCCAAATTCTCAACTGCTTCAGTTAAAATTAATATGTCTTTTGTGATAATGTGTATATAAAATTATTTTAAAAAATATCTCTTTCCAGAAACGTCTATATGTGGGACTATTAGATTGGCCTTCATGGTGTCCAAAGGTCAGCTAGAACTGGACATTATTAACGTCACTGACCTCAACAGAAATCAACATAGTAGTCCACCAGGTGCTCTCTCTCTCTCAATCTCTCGATCTCTCTCAAAAATAAGGGTTTCTTTTATACATATAATCATTGGTTAATAATTCTCATACTTAATTATGCGAAGTGCACTTTGTAAGAAATGGTTTATTGTATTTTAACAGATACATACGTGAAAGCCTATTTGGTAGGCGGATCAAAGGTTATTCAAAAAAAGAAAACCCACACCGTGAAGGGTTCCTTTAGTCCTTTCTTCCGTCGGACAATCAAGTACTCCGCTTGTAATATACATGGCCGGGCAATAAAGGTATGTAATATACAAAGCCGGGCAAAAAAGAGCCCCCTTCTTTTTATAGAATCTTACAAAAACTTTTGTCTTTTGGTAACATTTTTCGTTTTTTTATTTTAGGTAATTTTATGGGCTCGGCACGGTGCGTTTGATAAAAAACAGTCACTAGGAGAAGCTGTGGTTAAGCTAGATGGCCTTGACCTGATGCATCAGTCCACCAACTGGTACAAACTGTTTCCGCCCGGCGCTACAGACTTTGGCTCAAACGAATCTCTTCACTTCTGGTGAATCGGAGGCTAGCTTCGATCTTCTAAATAAATCGCCGCCTTCCAGAAATATAGTGTGATACTCTGATAGAGTGTTTGAAGGCAAAGGTTTAGGTCTCTTTTAATACAGTTAGGAGAACTTAACTTTGTCACGAGTTTCTACTAAATGGAGGAGAAGTGTGGTTTTCTGAAAACCTAATACAACACTATATCGTCACAAATAAGTTTTATTGAGACTGGCTTTATCGGTCATTACCGCCCTTTTGTGGGACATTCCTGAAAAAAAAGCGACTGCTGGTCCTTATTCCGACTACTGGTGCTTATTTCGTTTCATGAGATATACAAACATGCCTTGAATTACCACGAGATATATATCCGTCAACAAATCACGTGTCGCATTCTCATCGACCTATAGCATGGAATAAATGCCCTCGACCTATAACAGGGAATAAATGCCCTCGACCTATAGCACTCTTTAGAAATATGCCAGTGATAGTGCATAGTGACTTAATTAAAAAGAACACTGCATATGTTGATCAGAGATTTGATTAATCATCGCTATATCTGAACCCTAAAACCTTTTTTTGGGGGGGCACACTATTTTGGTCATCATATTTCAAGACTTTAGACTTTTAACACAGAGTACACGCCTTACACCTATAGCTGGTACCTTTATGCCTCTTTACAGTGCAAAGCCCCGAGCCTGCTGCACAGATCGTTACCAGTAACATACTTGATGATAGCTTCAGAACATGTGCTGTACAGATATTGGTGGAATCAAAATTTAATCTGCGATTCAATGGTGCCTTTTAAATTGTCTGTATGATATCATTGTCTGATATTCTTTTTTCCCATTCATCTGATTGGTGCTTTGGTTTATACTGTGGTTTTTTACTTGACAATACACGTGGCAATTTTAATTTCAATGAAATCAACATGAGGACCTGCATTTGTTAAATACAAGAACATGAAGTACTGATGATATGCATAAAACAGTATTAGTTAACTGACTTGTTCAATTTCTTTTATTTTTAATTGTTGCATTTCTACTGTCATTAAATTGTTGTTTAACGAGCTTTGTGTGTGTGGTGTTTTTTTGTTTGTTTGTTTGTTGGTTTTTTTTTGTGGGGGGGGGGGGGGGGGGGGGTACACGTTGTTCTGCTGAATAATTACTTTTACAAAAAAAAATCGAAGTCTTATCAAATGATATTTTAGGGGTAAGTAATAAAATCCCGCAATAAAGTTTCACCAAAGTAATAACAAGAAGACAACTTTATAAACTTCCCGTAAACTTCAAGGTTTTAATTGTTGTTATTACTTTGGTGAACGGGATTTTATTATTAACCCCTAAAATATCATTTGAGTGATTTTAGCTCACCTGAGATGAAACCTCAGGTGAGCTTTTCTGGTCACATTTTCTCTGTAGTCCGTCCGTCTGTAAACTTTTAACATTTTGGACTTCTTCTCCACCACCACTGGACCAATTTCAACCAAACTTGCCAAAAAAGCATCCTTTGGTAAAGGGAATTCGAGTTTGTTCAAATGAAGGGCCCCGCTCTCTTCCAAGGGGACATGATTAAGAAAATAGTAAAAATTTTGTGAAAAATCTTTTTCTCAAGAACCACTTGGTCGGGAAAAATAAAACTGATGTGGAAGCATCATCGGATAGTGTAGATTCAAGTTTGTCCAAATCATTACCCCCAGGGGTAGGTTGGGGTCACAATGGACGATCAAAGTTTTACAAAGGAATACATGTATATAGGAAAAAGCTTTAAAAATCTTCTGAAGGAAAACAAAGCTATGATTAGTAATATGTATAAGGAATCAGGTAGTGTAGATTCAAGTTTGTTCAAATCATGACCCTGGGGGTAGGGTGGGGCCAAAATGAAAGTACAGACTCATAGGAATAAAGCCACAGTAAGTCAAAGAAATATTTAAGCATTCTTAGTGTAGATTCAAGGTATTTCAAATTTTCACTACTGGATTGACTTTTGTTTTTTTCCTAGCTGCAGTGCTCAGGTGAGCGATGTGGCCCATGGGTCTCTTGTTTTATGTGCAGGTCATTCACAACAATGACAGGAATGGGACCCAAAATTTTGAGCATAAATTGTGATTATTTAATAATCATTAAATCAGACACTCGACGTCTACACAAGTTTATAAAATAAGAACATCTTTTTTAATTTAATCATAAAGATTTGTTATTTTGGAAAATGTTTGATTTTTAACGTTTCGTTTTGTTTGTTTTTCACAACCCTTGCTTAGAGGAAATGGCTGAGGCGTCACACAGCGGGGGATAACTCTGTTGGAAAATTGAGGACAAACTTCCCATTCATCTCTACCGTAAAGTCGTCAAATAAAAATATACTTATAATTTTATCATCTTTTGAATAAATGTTCCTTAACTTATCAATTAAAAAGAACATGCACCTTTTGAACAGTAAACTTTAGGACTTGTATCAATATTTTGGCTTATTGTATAAGCTGTTTTCTCCCACATTTAAAGCAGTGAATACCTCTGTTCTTTTTATGGTCCATCTGACATGATCAATCAATTGTCTTCTATATACAATAGCAGAGTCAAACATCAAGTGTAGAAAGTTTATTAAATGTTATAGCAACATAGCACTTTCAGAAATAAAGTGTATAAATAATGTACAATTCAATATAAATGTGTATACAAGAAGAGATTACCCCCCTTCATGTAAATAGGACATGTTTATAAACAGTGCTTGTTCAGTCCCACACCGCTAGTCGAGGGTGTGATCGGGCACTTAGGGCCACACAATAGTGTAAAAGGGATTAAAAAAATAAATTTATATATATATAGCATAAAACAACAACGTGCAATAGCACAAAAAATATATAAATGTATAGTCACAACGCACAAAAAATACAAAATATCACAGTCTGGCAAAGGAAGACACGGTCACCAAGGTTACATGTATTTCTTCCAGATTTTCAGGGTGTCGTAGAGTTCTAGGGCGGAGGGTCGGTCAAACTGGGACACTGACCAACACTGGCTGTAGAGGTCACGGTAACATTCCTCAAACGGGTCAAGGTCGATGTCGGGGTGGGAGGGGCGGTGTCCGTACGCTACTACACTGAATATCACCACATGTTGGTTCTCATTTCCGTACGGGTTTTCCCGCGCTAGCATCTGCCACAGGGTCACCCCCATAGCATAAATGTCTGCTTTATTAGAGGGAACTTGTCCTTTGAGGAGTTCCGGGGCGCGGTAGGCGAAGGTTCCCGTCAGTAGTGACCTCTGGGTGGGGCTCACCAGTCCCGTGTCGACCTCCACTTTCTGTGAGCAGCCGAAGTCGGCGATCTTGATGTCCCCCCGTGCGGTGACGAGGATGTTGGCGGGCTTTAGGTCCAGATGTAACACGTGATTGTCGTGGATGTAGCGCAGGGCGTCTGACATCTGAAAGGCGAACTTGATTCTCGTCTTGACATCCAGTTCCTCGTGGTTGATCATCGTTTGCAGAGTCTTACTTCCGGCGTATTCCATTATGATCCAGGCTCCCTCTTGGAACGTATCCAATGGAATGGCGGTCAATGTTTTCACAATATTTTGATGCTCAAAGTCCAACACATGAAGTTCAGCCTTGAAACTTTCTGCTTGGGCTGCAGAGTTTTTACACTGTTTGTTCATGATTTTCACTGCGACATCGCGCTCTTTGTAGGCTCCTAGGTACACGGAACCGAACCCGCCTGCTCCCAATAAACGTCCCAGTTTCACATCGTCTTTGTTCACTTGTTTGGCTTTCTTGTTGATCAAGTCAATTTTGGGCATAACCTTGCGAACAATTCCTCGACTTCGCTTGTACTTTGACAACAGGTACTTCAACTTTAGCCAGCTTTTCTTGGTGAAGCTCGTCTTTGACAGTTGCTGTGTATTGAAGTGGTTGGTAGTTTTCATTTTTTCGTGTATACATTCCATCAAAGTTCAATTGATAATGGCTGTCCAAGAGTCCAGGGTCTGTATTAATAATCTCCCAAACTGAGCAGTACTAAGCTCTGGTTGGCTGGCCAAGATACACATTCTAATTATAGAATTCGCCTTGGGGTCGTTACACTGATCCTATAATAAAATTCACACCCCGGCCTAGGACCCGCTAATGGACACACTAATAGACCATCAGTAAGTTGTTTACATTGGATAATTACACCAATTACATAATCATTGCGCATTTAGAATCTTGACTCCTTAATGGACTACTTCGACAACTGGAAAACGTCTTAATATTAGGTTATTATCTTGTTAAAATCAATTGCTACCAATTACAACTCTATCTTCGACTCAGGAAGTGTTAAATTTAAACTGATAAGTGGAAATATGGATATTATGTGTTCAAATTATTTAGAATTAATTTTTATTTGCATTTTGAAAAAAGTAGAAGAGTTTGATGCTAAATAAATTAATAATATAGAAATAAAGAAAAAGAGGAAACAACTGGTCTTATGAATTAAGGAAACTTGTGATATGTTTAAAAAAAACCATCTTACGTATATAAATTCTGCATTTCGATAATTTATTTTTTTTAAGGGTTTAAACGTGTCGAATTTAACGGATTAAAATCTTGTTGCCAGGATTTTCCTGGGATTTTTTTAATTTTTTTTTTTTAAGCCACAATGTAATACAACCTAGACATGGCAAAGTGAATGAGCGGGATCTATAATGCTCTGTATCATCAAGGTGATTTTGAACATATTTTATTGACAATATGTCAAAGTGATAAAATTCTTAGTTTGTCCTCTCCCATACATCAAGGTGATAAAATTCTTAGTTTGTTTATAAACATGCATTTGATTTAAAATAAATCAAAGAGCTTCGTACAACGGAACAAAAGCTTGTGATTATTTCATGAATCGTAAACACTGTCACTATTATAATTATGATTATCAAAGGAAGAGTGAGCCATGTTTGTTATCGAATCATAAAATTTTGTATCTATTACACTTCCTAATCAATTTTGTACATCAAATATTATAAGGTACTTATGGCCCATTTTAGTAAGACCTAGATTTTATTCTGCTTAAAACGTTCTAGTCAATATTATATAGGAAACAAATAATTGTAGTAAAACAGTTAACATGCACTAGCAATTTTGAAACAATAATTAATTTGCAAATTTTTACAATCAACGTAAGTTTTGGGTCTTTGTCGCAAGTTCTTTTTTTTAAAGAGCTAATGGCTTTTACCCAGCAGAAATGTTTAAACTTAAAATTATGTTGAACAGAAATTATTGTTATTTACTAAAAGATGTGCAAAGACAGTGTGAAATCAATATTAGCCTATTATAATGTTTAGCATGCTTGAATTGCTTAAGAACGAATAACATATGCTACATAGATTTTACCGAACTTATACTGTATTAAAATTCCACAAAATGGGGGTTCTTGTGAACAGCTTAAGAAAGGTTTCTTAAGCAGCAATCTGTCTTTTACAAGGAGGAGGAGGGGGGGGGGGTCTCTATGTTGTTGAATTTTATTTACATCTCTTGAATTCATCCAGTATATTAACAAAATGATAGTTCTATTGAATACTTATATTAACGAAATTTTTGGCACAGCATTAATGAGACAGAAGAATTAAGTGTGTGTCTATTCTATAGTTCGGTACATTAATGGAAAATTGTTCATAAAAGTTATCATGTTCAAAATATATCACTCCCACAAAATTTGTTTCTTTGTAACGTAAATTTTTCATGTAAAAATCTGGTTTTTGGTAAATTACTGTTATTCTTTCTAAGCTGACAATGTAAAATATTTTCCCTGGACGTGTTCGACAATAGTTGTTAAATTGTATTCATCATTTGAATGTGTTGTTTTAGAATTTGTTAACAATGCATTTATTAAGGGTACATAAAGTGAAAGCATCAAATGACTAAGTACTTATAAATACTTTTTGTTCAATATTCGCTTGGATTGGATCCTAAATTAAAGCTTTTTTATAACAAGCTGTGTCATTCAGTCTTTTGACGATTAAGTGTTTTTTTTTTCTTGTAAATTTCTCTCTACTTACTGAGTATTAGAAGGAAGCCTTTATCTCCCCCAAAAAGTTTTATTTTTTGAAAGTAGTTGACTCTGAAATCAATTCTTGAAAAGGGCAAATACTAAGTTTTTTTCAAGCGTTTGCATATTTTTGTTGCGTTTTTACGTGTTTTTTTGTTGTTGTTGTTTTGTTGTTTTTTTTTACGACAATCAAAAAGTTAATTTAAGGTATAAAAATAACAGGAACAAAAGAAATCTCTTGATATATTGATTTATTACGAAATAGCAGTAAAAAAAATTGAGCAAAGAAAATATGAAACAAACAAAAGACTCATTAAAACCCTAATTAAAAAGTTATTATAGTGACAGGGAGTATTCTAACTGTTTCATTGGCTCTTGTGACACGAGCATTACAAGCTTTTCATTGGCTACCGTGCATGACGCCGAGTACCGCACTTCAGCTGTTTCATTGGCTCCTGTGGCACGGAGTATTACATGCTGGTATTTCATTGGCTCCTAGTAATTAAGAAGTAGTTTGACCTAATTGTACACCTTAAATAATGAATGACAGTATTGTTCTATTGTATGTATGTTATAAGATAATAAATTTATCATAATTAGTAGTTCTCTACAGATTTTGAATTAGATTTCTCAAATTGTTTGTCGAAGAATTAACTATTTCAAAATCCCTTGGATGTATTTAATTTTTTAAAATATCAGTCTATTTTTATTTGTTCATATATATAAGAATGATTTCTACATCTTTTAGCAATAAAAATTAACTATTTGATTGTACATATTGTGAATATATTCTACACAGCATAATTTAACTTCGTTAGGTGACCTGGTATTTCTCATAGTATGTCTAGAAAATTGTCTCTGACCACAAAATGAACTAGACAATAATTTTTACTAGTTTCGGTAAAAAATTAAAGAAAAATACACGAGTTGTTTTATTTTTTTTCTTTGTTTTGTACACATATATCCAGTGCAGGTCTATGAGTTTGATCTGTTTAATGCTCTGGCACCAAAACTTTGTGTTCTATATATGAGGACTACGACTTCAAAATATATATGATGTAGATGAGGTATGGACGATTTCTATTATTGATACAAAAAAGAATTCTTTCTTAATAATCCGTGTAGAAGGTATTTTTCCCGCAAAAATGATGAACACAACCATACGATAAAATAAAAGCACAACCTACAGTGTCTATACAAAAACATTACATCCAAGTTTCTGTTTAAATGTATATGCTATCAAAAACCTTTTCTCATGATTGATATGTAGATGCGTATAAGCGGGAAAACGATGAACACTAATACAAACGCTAATTGTGACTAGAATATAAAAGACAGCATATCATTTATGTCGAGGTAAGTGGGGTTCTGAAATATGAATACTATTAGGTTAAACGAATCATGACAAAAATATACGTCAAATGTTTACATATATATACTACATGTATGAGATCACAAGTAATACATGGAAGCTCTGGACGATTTCAGATAGAGTAGTGCGTGTACTCGAAGAACACTGAGGTTTTCCGAGATTCCACAACATCATGAAGTGGACAAGAGACGATTGTCCATGAAACAACACTTTCTTTCACTTTTTTCCTTCTAGTTTACGTGTTGGTGCCGATGTTGACACGCAAAGATAAGCTTCTCATTTAAATCAGACAATGTTTTAAATGACATAAAAAGAGGCAAAGAATTTTAAGATATGGCTGACGTCAAAATCCGAATTTTTCGAGTTTCGCCATGGAGAGTTCGTACTGTTTGTCAGCCGACAGGACCTGGCTCCGGACGTGTTCGTCGTTAGCGCTGGTCTGGTTCACGTTATAGTTGTAGATAACAGACGGACGGCTGAACTCCGGGTTCAGGTAATTTGAGGCGTGAACAAGAGGCTGGTAGTTCATCCATGAACGGTCCATGGTCCGATGGCGATCCCCGCCTACCAGCGTCCGATCGGAGAGGGATCCGCCGTAACTGGGCTCGTAATTCGTGCCATGGTTACCATAGTTACCGTTGCTGAAGTCATGAGACACAGTTCCGCCGTATTTTGAGTCATTGCTATAGCGATGTCCGACTTTACTTTTGTCGTTGGAAGGAAACCCCAGAAGAGTTCGCACATTCTCTCGGTTCCTGTCGGTACAACAAGGACAAGTAAGGTTACTAGAGCCTTCATAGAGCGGAATAATATGGCCGTACTGAGCAAAGTGGAGGTAATCTGCTACCAGGCCGTCCACTAAAGTGTTTGTCGTATCCACCGGCGTCAGTGGCGCCACGTACAGATTTTGGCGCGGTGGCGCCTGGCTACGAGGGGACTGGTATCGTGGAGACTTCCGTTCCTTTGGAGACTGGGATCTGTCGGCCGGTAGGGGGCGCGCGTGCACAGTAGGGCGTGGTTTGGGAGGATCGTTGGAGGGTCTCAGGATTTCATATTTAGCGGCCGGTCTGACTGAGATCCGGGCACTTCCGCCTCTACCTGAGAACGTCTCCTCGCGGATTGGAGGGAGTTTCTGGGCCCGGGTCACGGAGATCTGACGAGTTTTGCCGGTAGCCATGATGTAGAGTCAAACAACTGAAAAAGAAGCAAACGGTTTTAAAGTTAATTCCATCATACTATTTTTTTTCAACAACTAAATATTTGATTTATTTTCTAAGGAAAAGCTTTTTTATTTTTATAAGTACTTTTAAAAGCATATTAATAAATAGGCATAATAAAAGGCCAGACGCTACATTCTTCAAATATCTGTTTCATATCTCTTGAAATCATACATTTAAAAAATCAAAATTGTCAATCTCTTGTGATTTTTAAATTGTTTTCAAAGTTTAAAAACGTAAATTAACCCAAAATTTATTCCATTGGCAATTCAAAATATAACCCACATGGATTATATATGAAATATCTCCCTCTGGTACCTTGTCCAAATGCCTGGTAAGGTGACTCAATTTTTGTGAGAAAACTTGCTTGAGTAGCAAAACTTCAATGACACATTCTTAGGAAAAATCATATTTTTGAGGTACGTGTCGTCTCACCTTAATTACAAATACATGTATATATTTTTTAAAAAACTATATTATTATATTATTGCAAATTTGGCATTTGCATCCACCTATAATGAATACTTTTAAAAAGTACAACAAAATATGACAAAGTTTATTTGGTGAAGGCAATATTTTAGTAAATGTGTGCAAGAAATTTAGCTACACTATGTCTTCATAGAAATGAACACGTAAGGCCCAGAAACGGTATAATGCAAAAACATGTATCTATCCCTCCTTAAAGAATCTTTAAATAAATTTTGGTGTTGTATATAATATTAATAGACACATGATATATAATTATCCACACTGACAGGACAAAGATATCAAAAAGTAATCATTATTTCATCTTCTTAACATGGTTTGAATGACAAGGAAGCAATGTCTGTAGATGTTACATTAAAGTGGCTGTTATACCTTCTGTCGGCTCTCTTAGTACGTGTGAAATATTTGTATTTTAATGTATGTAATACAGCTTGTTTTCACACCAACTCTTGAGAAAAAAATATCTTGCCCCCAGGAAAAAGCCCACGGACATTGTGCTGTCCAATATATACTGAACAAATGACTCAAATCCAGAAAGGAAAATAATATTTTAAAGTGGGAATTTGAAGTATATTATACCATTTAATTGGTTGAATGAATCATGATATACACTGCAATGCGTATGACATGTAACAATTCTATAAAGAATCAACTTTTGATTAAATGTGTTCGATAATCGATATGTGTTGTATACTCTTGTGAATTTGTCTAATAAAGACTTTTCTTAAATTTATTAATTTTGAAAATGAGGAATTTAATTATTACTTTTAAAAATTGCTTAAATTTAATTGTGCTGGGTATTTCATATTTTTAGAAAGGGGGAGGCGAGTATATTGAGATATGCGTCTGACACTCGTGCAAATCTTGTTTATTATTTGTGAGTATCATGACTGTATTTTACAATGTCTTAATAGTAAGATCAACTGAAACTGTGCCAAGTAAAAAATTAATCAATTGACCCACATTTTCTAGAAAATGATCAATATACAAAATCGATATAATAATTTTTCTACGTGCCATATATAGGTCTTAAAATATTACTACCACGACCCCTTACTAAGAATGTAAACATAGCTATACATGTATTCATTACGTTGTTCTATTTTTTTTTTATATCTGCTTCTACGGGCACCTGTCTCTGAGACCAACCCTAATTACGTCACAATGACCGGCTTTAATTAATAAGTATACCTGTCATTTTGCCCAGGGGTCGGGCTAACTGACGATAATCCACCCGTCTTTGACCGAGGACTTTCCCTAGGCCGCCATCTTGTTTACTTATTGCTATGACCACGCGTTTTCTCGTCTACAGTTTTACTGAGATCAATTTTTTCATTTAAATCCCTCAGCGCAGAACATTAAAAAGTATAGATTACCTGTATAGGTCACGGTCGAGATAGATTGAATTACTCCCTATCGATCTATTTAAAAGACTTTTCAAAATGTTGAAATTGATTTTTACTTTGTTCTATTTTAAAAGTTTACTTTCAAAAATCGTTATCAATGAATGTTCCTAATTCAAATCAAAGGCGATAATTATTTGTAATCAACAAGATTCTAAGAGAGGACAGAATTAGTTTTGCGCGCCAAACAATGACTGATACTTATGTCGATACTTTTTTCCCATTAACCCCATTATAACGGCGGGGGAGTACCCCGGAGCCATCAATCTGGGAACTTCAGTGGAAGTCGGTCCTGTGGGATTCTATTGGCTAACATCTCTCTCCTCGTCACAAACAACGAACATATACCATATACGGTATCATTTAAACCTTGATTTAATTATGCATTTCCCACGCGGACTTTAAAGCCATATCTGCAATTAATTCCACTTTTCCCCCCACTTCGATAATGAAAACCTAACCCTAATCGTGATCCTCTTTGAAGGGTGGCTTCTACATTTTCTTTCCCAGATCACGTGCTTGATAAGAATTTCACGACCAGATTTTCAGAGGAATGGTGTCGGGAAGAAACAAACTTTATTATTCATGACCGAGCGCCCACTACAACTTCTACTTTTTGAAAAAGAAATATGTATTTAACAAAAGTATTAATGCTATAAGGCTACAAAATAAGTCATCATAAGCATTTATTTCATCATGATAACAAAAATGGAGTATAAACTCCTCTTACCAATGCTTAAGGAGGCGGGGGGGGGGGTTAACAAATTAACCATGCACCAGATTTAACTTATTTGTTTACATATGGTATCTTAAGCTTCAACTATCATTTGGTAAAGAAAAAAATCAAACATTTTAGTTTTAAAATTTTATCATTTTTATCTTTATATGGAGCTCTTCTTTTTAAGGAGATCTAAATAGTCTGAAAATGGCTGCCACCCCCAGCCTCTTTAAAACTGGCTGACTAAACTTACGACATGTATATTTTAACTCCAGTATTTGTGCGCTCTATTTGGAAGACGATAAACAGAGACTCGTACTTGTAGAAGTCGTTAGAATATTTGAAGTTATATAATAGTTCTTTTTACTAATCAATTGGAATATTATTTATTTTATTATTTTAAAACCATTTGGTTTATCAGATAAGAGTCATCCTACAATTACAAAATAAAGCATTTCTAATAAAGAAGAATAATATTGTTCGTATTTTAAAACTCTTCATCTACATTTCTTCAGAGCATATCATAAAGAATATGGTCTGTGTCTGTTACTTGAGAGAATATGAAGACTGTGGTCTCTGTCAGAAAATCATAGAGACTCAATTTTGTGTCATCATCATGCAGTTAATCATAAAAACTCGGTTTGTGTTTGATAGTCGAGGTCAGCAAGACAAAAAGACTCTGTTTTGGTCACCAAGTCGAAAAAAAAAAACATCATAAAGAATATGGCCCTAGTCGAGAACATATAAACAGTCCCTGGTTTGTGTCAGTAAGTACACAGTCCCGTATACTATTGAAATCTTGTAGTACAGGGATCATTTATTATTCATTCCAAAAATTGTATTAGGGATCATTTATTATTTACACGTGGTAAACCAGGCAGTATAGAATGATTAAGCACATAATTACTTGTCTTCAGGTTTTCTCTAGAGTGAAATGCGGGTAAACCAATGTATGGAGTATTATGTCTGGGGTTTTATATAGTACACAACCAATTTCAAGTACAATTTTTTGTTCATGTGAAAGTTTTCTCTCTCTCTCTCTCTCTCTCTCTCTCTCATATCTCCCTAGAGAACAACATTCCTTGATGTCATGCAACAATGTACTATAAACATCAGTTTTAGTAATAAAAAATCAGTAAACTACTATCAGATATCAACAATCAGATATAAATAAAACAACGGAAATGTGATCAATTACCTTAAAAAAGAAATTATAAGGTAAGATAAAATACCTGTATCATCGAGGGACTGCTTCTGTATGTGGCATACAACCTATCTAACCAGGTATATGCTACGTTAAATATATATAACTATGGCTCTCTGGTTGAAAAAAAAAACTCGGACAAACAAACCAAAGATCTACACATCCAATCATTGTAAAAACCTTTGACTGCTCCCCTGTCGCTTCAAGTATTATTTCTTGCACCATTGACCACCAAAGCATGGTCATGGTTGTGACGTATATTTTACTCCCAATCTTGTAACTTTATTTATCTTTCGATTGTTCTTTGTTTGTTATCAACAGTATCTTTAATTAATGTATTAACAAACTGGAAAAGTATAATAGTTCAATTTATCTTTTAAAAAGTAAATGTATAAATACATGTACACCCAACGCCAACGGAGTCGTTCATTGGTCTGTTGTGTTTGGTGTATACAACACTTGAAGCTTTTAAATAAGGCGAAAACAAAGTACTTATTCAAACCTCATAAAAGCTGATTTACTGATTACTTCCCATATATGTTCTTGAACATATTTTAGCCCGATCCGGAAGTCACATGACATACTGAAAATCGTGCTTGATTTTTACATGTAACCATCGTTTACTAAATATGATTTTTTTTGGAATGCGCATCATAATATTCCAATAGTTAATTATCAATATCTCAAAAAATACCAAAAAAGACGAATTCAAGAAGGGAAACAAGTTCCTCTGCTTAATACAAAATACATAATGTATAGTTGTCATGCAAAATCAATTCAAAAACATTTTCATTATGAAAAAACATTTTCATTATGAATATATACAATCTCTATTGGTGCATTATAGACGATAAAGGACACTCGATACCAGACAAATCATGAGTAACTTTTTATACCCCCCGCTTGAAAAGCGGGAGGGTATATAGTAATCGTTAATTCCTTCCCTTTGTACGTCTGTCCGCCCGTCCGTCTGTCCGTCCGTCTGTCTGTCTGTCCGTCTGTTACGCTTTGGGGTACCCATCTCTTATCCGCAACTCCTCTCATACCACTGAATGAAATTTGATGCAACTTTCACAGAATCTTTATTACATATTGCCATTGTGCACCTATTTGACTTTTTGATCCGAGCCATATTTTTGGGTTTCCCGGCCACAGCAAAACATGGACTTCATCCCCAGTTACAACCATATGGGAGGCGGGGGGTATCATTTAGTGAGCTCATCGCTCACAGTACCTCTATAGCTAGTTAGGTTTGTAGTCTATAGTAATCTGTCAACATCAGCGTTGGTTTTCAATGAGTTTAAAATTTTGCCATTCTTTTCAAATATTTCAATAATAATAATATACATATAAACCTTTTCCGCACTTTTAATCTTAAGAGACAACTCGCAATTACGATCATTTAAGCCCTTGACATGATTTGGTTTATTATAAAAAAAATTGTAAAACGAGGCAAGACGAAAAGAGCACACCCCATTTTTAATTTCTGTAAGAGGGAATTTTGACATCTCTTGGGATCGTAAAACAGCAGCCTTGATCAGCGATTGATTGGAAGTCTCGCGTGTAATATATACATGTACCTGTATGGTGTAATATATACCTGTAATTGTAGAATGTTTTATTAATGTGGTAGACATGAACAATTGCAAAGAGATTGGGTCTTGTTCCCCGTTTCAACTGCCTATGATCCTGTTTTGTCTTTCTCCTTTTACAGCGATTATAGGTTTCATTCTCTGTCAAACTTTCAAAAATGAAAATTATTACAGACATCATTGGGGTAGGCTATGTGTCCCATTTCACTATGTCATGGGACTACGTTCTTCACTATCTATTATACAGCGTGCCATCAAACAAGGGCATCGGGTTGACATTTTTCATCTATCAAAATGGAACATCTATCTTTTTCGGATCAATAAGCCACGATTTTTTTCGCACACACGAAAGACTGTCACAATTATTTAATGTGTATGTGAAGGTTCAGGACATGACGAGAACCCATCGAGTCCTCTATAAATGTATTAACCACCCACCGATCTAATTCACTAACACCCACCACCCTTTACGTCTCAACGCAAGTGAGCACAAAGAGCTCCCACAAAGACCCAGAATAGGCCGGGGTTGTGGTCGAGAAACTCGTAGGTAATGGTGCGTAGCTCGTCCGTGGCAGCAGCCGATCGATTTTCTGGCTCTATCGATGTTGTCAGTCTCAATTTAGCAAACAACGCCGACTTATTCGAAGGTCGCGCGCAGTGTATATCGATTTCTCTGTAGAGCGGCGAATAGCGATGAAAAAAATGGCGAAAGAAGACATCAGCTGCGAGCCGCTGTAGATGAATCAAGACGAAACCTCAGCCGGCATGATGAGTGGTATGAACCGAATGTCCATCAGGGGTTCTGCCAGTGTCAACTCACGGACTGCGCTTCAGGTAAGAGAAGATCTTGTAAAGAAGACGAGCAGCGCTGAAACCGATATTCGGTAATGATTCCATTTTTCAATTAGCCAGATCTATTTAGTATCTAGTGATTGTTGCCTATTTCAAGACGTTCAATACACCTCGTAATTTAACGCCCCTTTGAAATGTCTATTACAATCTTTGGACCCAATTGATTGCTTTATGACGTCACAACTGCGTACTAGTTTCCATATTCAGCCTTTCTATTATGATATAGTCCATCCTTAACTTCTCCACTGCTTCTGACAGTTAATTATTCTGTATACTGGCCATTTGGAGAAACGGTTCTCGTACAGAAGTTAATCAATTAAGTTCCAATTATTCTCGCTGGATTTGGAATCCTTACTGATGTATTAAAACCTTTGTTATTTCGTAGGTGTAGACGTCTCGACAAACATGAAGTTTGACATTCAAACACGTGGTCGCCTACATTTAAATTAAAACGAACACTTTATAGCATCTCTGATTACTTGTTCATGTCATTTTAATCTGATATCTGTCTTTGGTAACATTCGTGAACAAATAAGAATCTTTCATATTTTGTCAG